ACCCCTCACTGCTTTCCTGCTCCTCAGTTTCTCAGCACCTTTCCACACAGCTCACTCTTTCTCTCTTGGTTCACCCTTAGCTCACACTGTCTCTCTCATAACCGGCTCTATATCTCAGTGGACACCACTTCTTAGTCTTCTTTGTTCATTTCCCATCTGTTCCTCCTCCAAAATGCTGACTCCTTCTTTAGTTACATATAGCTCCGAAATGATTCCCCACTCCAGATCACTGCGTGGACTAGACTTACAAGTTTATCTCCAACTACAGCCACTTCCTTGAACTCCGAACTTGCACGAAAGTCAGCTCAGTGAAATCTCTATTTGAGTATTTCATAGGTCTATTCATCCTATATGTGTCACTGTAGGATAAGCACCGGACTATTAAACAAATCATCAGTCGTTCAAACTCTTCAGTTTCTGCTTGGAAAGGGTTGCTGAGTCAGAACCAACTTGACAACACTTAACAACAAACAACAACAGGACTATTCATAACGGAATCTTGCCTTGAATCTATTCTTTAAGAGGTCAGCAACATTGCTAAGCTTATCCCCTGCTGGTTCTCTGTTGTTGTTAAGTGCCCTGGAGTCAGTTCCGACTCAGTGACCCTGTACAGGGTTTCCAAGGCTGTAAATCTTTACGGGAGCAGAAAGCCTCATCTTTCTCCCGCAGAACAGTTGGTAGTTTCGAACCACTGACAGTGAGGTTAGCAGCCCGATTCATAACCACTATGCTACCAGAGCTCCTTTCACTAGCCATTAGAGAAATGCAAATTAAACCAACAATGGCCCCCTAGGGTTTCCAAGGCTGTGATCATTTCAAAAGCAGACAACCATGTCTTTGATCCAAATGCATCGATATCTCATTTGATTCATCACAATAAATTTGAGGTCCACAGGCTTATTATCATTGTCCTGTTGTTACTACTGTTAAGAGCCATTGAGTCCATTCTGACTTATAGTGACCATGACAGATTACCCTAGGAGTGGTTGGTGGGTTTAAACTGCTGACCTTGTGCTTAGCCTACATTGTAAATAGCACCTCAGATCATCAATGAAGTACATAAGGATGTTAAGTACCTAAAGTAGATGTTAAAGACTTTGAAGAGTTAATGTTTTCTTTTAACCATTCACTAACTGACTAAAAACTAGTTTCATTGCATAAGAACCAGAAGGGCAAATGGAATTATAAATACAGCTTATAATGAACACTCTATGTTGTTTCTATGCTTCTAATGCAAATGTGGTTTCTATTAAGGATCCGAATTTCTTTTTTGAATTCTTTGAGATGAAAGATGACAATTTAGGGATGATCTATTAAAGATGATAATAGATTGCATTGAAAAACAATCACAAAGACTGTAGCAAAAATTCAGCAATCATTTCTATTGAGGGTTATATCTTTGATATTTTCAATTTGTTTAATTATAATTCAACATTTACTGATGTTTGTCGTTGCTGATAGGTGCCATTGAGTCAGTTTGAACTCACGCCAAACCTGTGTACAACAGATGGAAACAATGCCTGATTCTCTCCATCCTCCGAATTGTTCAGTTTCAGCCCATTGTTGCTGCCACTGTGTCAATCCAGCTCACTGAGGGTCTTTGTTTTTTTCACTGCCCATCTACTTTACCAGGGAACGATGTCATTTTCCAGGGACTGGTTACTCCCGATGAAATGTTCAAAGACGTGACAGGAAATCTCACCATCTTCACTCTTAAGGGCATCTGAACTGGACTTCTTCCAAGACAGATTTGTTTGTTCATCTGACAATCCGTGCATTTTCAATATTCTTTGCCAGTACCATAATTCAAATGCATCAATTCTTCTCTGGTCGTCCTTATTAACTGTCCAGTTTTCCCATGCATATAAGGTGATACAGTTGAGATGATGAGGTGCACCTCAGTCCTCAAAGTGATATCTTTGTTTTTGTAACACCCTAAAGAGGTCTTCTGCAGCAGATGTGTCCAATGTAATACATTGTTTGATTCATTAACTGCTACTTCGATGGGCTTTGATTGTGGATCTAACGCAAAATCAAATCCTTTGCAACTTCAGTCTTTTCTTCATTTTCCTAATGTTGTTTGCTGGTCCAATTGTGAGGATTTGTTTTCTTTATATTGAGATGTAATCCATACTGAAGGCTGTAGCCTTTGATCTTCATCAGTAAGAGTTTCAATTCTTCTTTACTTTCAGCAAGCAAGAGTGTGTCATCTTCATATGGCAAGCTGTTAAACAGTCTTCCTCCAATCGTGATGCCACATTCTTCTTCATTCACCTTCTCAGATGATTTGCTGTTGTTGTTGTTGTTAAGTGCCTTTGAGTGGTTCCAACTCATAGCAACCTTGTATAGAGTTTCCAAGGCAGCAGATCTCTATGGGAGCAGAAAGCCTCACCTTTTCCCCACTACCAACCTGGTGGATTCAAACTGCTGACCTTGCCGTTAACAGCTGAAACCATAATCCACTATGCTACCAGAACTACGTATGGTGAAAGAATACAACCCTGACATACATCTTTCTGGATTTCTATATTCAAAGGGCAGCCTCTTGTTCTAAGTACAAGTTACGCATGAGCATGATGAAGGGGTCTTGAGTTCCCATTATTCACAATATTATGCAAAACTTGTTATGATTCACACAGTCGAATGCATTTGGACGGTCAATAAAACACAGTATAACACTGTTATTCTCACTTTCAACCAAGACCGAGCTAACATCAGCATTGATAGTCTTCATTCCATGTCTTCTTCTGAATCTGGTTTGAATTTCTGACCGTTACTTGTCAATGTACTGATGCAATTACTTTTGATATTTTTTTTCCAGCAAGATTTTACTTACATGTGATATTAATGATATTATTTGATAAGTTTTGCATGGTAATTTCTGTTAGATCTTCAGAATGTGCCTGAATTTGGATTTCTTTCAGTCTGTTGCTTAGGTAAATGTCTTCCAAATTTCTGAACACTTTTAGCTTGACATCCATTTTTTTAACTATCTCAATTGATATATTTAAGCTTACAAAATGCAACACACACACACTTACAATCAGTATAGGACTGTCTACAACCATACTAAGAAACACATCTCAAGAAAGCTCATCTGATAGAAAATGAAACCTTGTGCCGATCTCATGAGCAATTTGTGTTATTCAAATATCAGTATAACACCTTCATAATTTCTACCATTTAGATGTACACCCATACCATTACATTTTAAATACTTCTCTATTGTTTTTACTCAACTCACTATTTAGCCTTGTCCTATGATGGATCTTGGCTGAAAGCAGAGAATATCACAAAGATGTCTACCTGTGCTTTATTGACTACGCAAAGGCTTCTGATTGAGTGGATCATGACAAGCTATGGACAACATTGTGAAGTATGAGTATTCCTGAACACTTAATTGTGCTCATGAGGAATCTGTTCATGGAACAAGAGGCAGCTGTTCGAACAGAACATGGGAACACTGAATGGTTTAAAATTAAGAAAGGTACGCGACAAGGTTGTATTCTTTCACCATACTTACTCAACCTGTATGCTGAGCAAATCATCTGAGAAGCTGGGTTATATGAAGAAAAACGTGGCATCAAGATTGGAGGAAGACTCATTAACAACCTGTGATATGCAGATGATACAACCTTGTTTGCTGACTGTAAAGAAGACTTAAAATATTTACTGATGAAGATCAAAAAGCACAGCTTTTGGTATGGATTACATCTCAATGTAAAGAAAACAAAAATCCTCACCACTGGACCAATAAACAACATTCTTATCAACTGTCACAAGACTGAAGTTGTCAAGGACTTCATTCTTCTGGGATCAACTATCAACACTTACAGAAGCAACAGTCAAGAAATCAAACGACGTATTACATTAGGCAAATCTGCTGCACAAGACCTTTTGAAAGTGTTGAAGAACAAAGATGTCAGCTTGAGGACTAAGGTGTGCCTGACTCAAGTCATGATATTTTCAATAACCTCATATGCATGTGAAAGCTGGACAGTGATTAAGGCAAGACCATAGAAGAATTGATACTTTTGAGTTATAGTGTTGGAGGAGAATATTGAAAGTGCCATGGGCTGCCAAAAGAACAAACAGATCTGTGTTAGAAAAAGTGTATCCAGAGTGCTTCTCGGATGCCTAGATGGCCAAACATCATCTCTCATACTTCAGACAAACTGTCAGGAGGGACCAGTCGCTGGAGAAGGATATCATGTTTGGTAAGGTGGACAGTCAAAGAAAAAAAGGAAGATCCCCAGTGAGATGGATTGGCAAAGTGGCAGCCTCAATGGGCTCATGCATGGCAACAATAGTGAGGTTGGCCCAGGATCGGGCAATGTTTTGTTCTGTTGTGCATAAGATCGCTATGAGTCGGTACCAACTCGATGGTACCTAACAACAACAAAAACATTACTAGATGTGAAATTCCAAGGTTGATTTGTTAGTTTTCATTTTTTAAAAATATACATGAAAATAAATGAATATTAAAAAGGAAAATGTCAGTTTAAAAGCCATCTCGTGTCACACTGATGTGACACAGATAACACCCCAGGGCAATGAACCATTAGGATGATTTCATGGAAACCATCACAGAACACAGTCCCTTTGATAATTCTTCTTTATGTTAACAGGGAAATTTTACGGCAGTAATAGTGTCGTCGTTATGAATCAGGCTGCAAACCGCAAGGTCAGCAGTTAGAAACTACCAGCCATTCCACGCGAGAAAAGATGAGGCTTTCTGCTCCCGTAAAGATTTACAGACTCGGAAACCCTGTACAGGGTCGCTATGAGTCGGAACCAACTCCACGACATGACAGCAATATTGACACATCTACTTCAGAACTTGTGTGTTTTTGCAGTGTGGAAATATATAGTCAGTGTTACTCTCATTGGTCCCCCAGAGAGTGGGAAAGCTGTAGCTGGAATGAGCACGAATCAGAAAGCTCAGGCCAAGGTAGTGCGGTCGTGCCGTTAGAGTAAGATATACATGAAGCAAAACTTACATTCGTTAAGGGATCATTTTCATTCTCCGTAACACATCCCTGAAGATTGAAATTGAGAGCTTTGCAGATGATCATGATTCTTTTGGCAGCTTTTTCTTCAAATGGTTTGATCACAGACTCTGGTTTTAAAATATCCTTTTTCTGAAGTTTCAAGGTCTATGAAAAATTTGAAAGTTTTAGTCACCAAGCATCCATCATAAAAATAAAACTGTACATATGAACTACAATTGCCCTGCACAAGTTAGCCTATTAAGAAAAAAAAAAAAAAAATTGAATTCCACTTACATCTATATCTGGATCCAGTGAGAACAGATTTAATCTCTCCATGTTCCGAGTCATTCTGATAGCTTCTTCAGTTTCTGTGAGGTACTACAGAGAAAATGGAGTTAGTCTTTGGTATACAAACAGATACTTACTTACCAGACCACCCTCACCCTCATGCCAAGAAGTTGTTTGGGGGGGCAGTTAAGTCTATTTCAACTCATAGCAACCCCATATGACACAGTAGAACTACCCTGTGGGGTTTTTTTTGGTTGAAATCTTTACAACAGCAGATTATACAAGGTCTTTTCCCAGGGAGCTACTGGAATGGATTTGAACTGTGATCCATTTGGTTAGCAGTCAAGCACTTAACTGCTTGTGCCACCCGGTGTCCTGGGCAAGAAGAAGCCCTTTAGTATGACCACTATGTTATATCATCCACTAACACTCAGAAAATCATACAAAAACATGATTTTCTTTTTGAGTACATATTAAGTAAAACACATTGTTGTTTCTAAGTGCCGAAGTAAATTCCAACTGATAGTGATCCTATATAGGATTTCTGAGGAGCAGCTGATGGGTTTGAACTGTTGACCTTGTGATTCTCAGTCCAGTTCTGATCCTACAGTACCACACCAAAGGTCTTGGATTAGTTTCTCAGCATGCATATTAAAAAAACAAAAACAAAAATTTCCCCTATCTTTTCTACCAAAGTAACAACTGATAAGTAATGAACATTTGATTGCATAGGAAAATGATAACTTTATTACTTTTGCAAAGTCAGGGTGTAGGCTGTTCTCCGAAGACTCTGTTTCCTCCAGCGTGCACTCACAATCTACAGAATTCTCCAGAGGATCTTTAAGAGATAAACCAAGGCAGGTCATTGAGTAATATTTGCAAGGCACACATTTTTCTAACCTGGGACTTATCAAAACTGGGTTAGACTTAAGAATTATAAAGGATTTTGTTGGACAAACATACCTTCATTCTCTCCTGACTCCAGTACTTCATATTGTTTGGAGTTCTGAGCTAGAAATGGAATCTCATGGTCATTTCAGGGTTCTTTACATGATACATAACCTTATAATGCTACATTTGTTCTTGGGGTTGTCTTGACATCCATTGTCTATGCATTCTAAACTTTTCTTACATACGTGTGTATTTTTAGTAATTCTGGCTCTTGGGCCATCAATTGAAACCAACACTCTAACTTCACTTGATATTTTTCTTGAAGATTCTATAAATAGTATTATTCTACATTATTATTCAATAAAAACACCTACTATGGCATATACCTGTTGTTACTGAGTCAATTCCAACTCAGAGACCCTACAGAATAGAAGAGAACTGCCCCATAGGGTGCCCAGGGCTGTAACTTTATAGAATCAAACCACCGCATCTTTCTCCCATGGAATGACTGGTGGATATGAACTACCACCCTTTCAGACAGCAGCCACCAGGGCTCTGCCCCTAAACAAAACACAATATCATTCAATCCCTTCTGACTCATGGAACCCTACAGAACAGAGTAGACCTGCCTTGTAGAGTTTCCAAGGCTGTAAATCTTTATAGCTGCCGACTGCCACAGATTTCCTCTGTGGAGCAGCTTTTGGGTTCGAACCAGTAACCTCTTAGTAAGAAGTTGACCTCTTAACCACCATGCCAGCAGGGCTCTCTCTGTGGCATATAAAACTCCAAAACCACTCACTGCCATCCCACGGATTCTGATTCATAGTGACCTGTATACGGTTCCAAGGCTTCAAATCTCTACATGAGCAGAAAGCCTCATCTTTTTCCTGTGGAGCGGTTAGTATGTTTCAACTGCCAACCTTGTGGTCTGTAGTTCAGTGCTTATGCTACCGCAGACACCGCTGTGGCATGTTGTTATTGTTGTTGTTAAATGTCACAGACTCAAGTTTCTAGACATAGCAATCCAGCACAGGGTTTCTGAGGACTGGCTTGAATTGCTGACCTTGTGGTTAGCAGTTCAGTGCTTATCCTACAGCACCACACCAGGAAGTTTCGATGGCATATATTGTTGTTGTTGTTAAGTGCCATCGAGTCAGTTCTAACTCATAGCTGTATAGGGTTTCCGAGGTGCAGCTGGTGGGTTTAAACTGCCGACCTTGTGGTTCGCAGTCCAGTACTGATGCGACAGCACCACACCAGGAGTCCCGGTGCCATAAAAATGGTCAAATCTGTCATTGTTGCTTCCTTATTACCCATGACCCTTTACTGTATATAGTATATAATTCCTACAACCACTATAACTTAAAACTTTTGTTTTTATGACTTGATGGCACTGAACAACATCGTGTGACAGCTAAGGCTTTGTGTCAACTTAACAGGGCCAGGACTCCCAGTGGCTTGGCAGTTGAGAAGTGGTTATCCCCTTGGTGAGACCTACTACAGGCATAGTGAACTCTATGATGCTTGGCTATGAGCAGCCAATCAATTGAAAAGATGTTTCCTTGGAGGTGTTGTCTGCTCCCAATATAATGGACACACAGGAAAGACTGGCTGTCTTTTCTGCTGGATCTGGATCTTGTATCTGTGTTGTCCTCCAATCTCCAGTTCTTTGGACAGCTCTTTTATTTGTCTGGAGCCCTGGTGGCACTGTGGGTTAATGTGCCAGACTGTAAAGACGTTTGAACTGCAAGGTCGGCAGTTCAAGCTCACCAGCTACTCCTTGGAAATCCTACACAGGGTTGCTATGGGTCGGAATCGACTCGACGGCACTTAAAAACAACAACATTATTTATCTGCCTGTCTGCCTGCTGGGCCTGCCTGATGCGTGTGCCTGGAAATTGTGCCAGGGGTACTTGGTGGCATGTGCACCCAGCTGCTGGGAAAGATGGATGTCCACCCATTCGGAGAGCCCCACATGCCTGCTCACGCCACCCTGGCGCTGTTACACTGCTGCTGACCCCACTCCAGCACCGCATCCCTGCTCTGTTCCCCAACTTGGGACTCCGGTCTGCTCCTCTGCCTTCAGGGCCTGTGGCCGAACTTGGTTCGTATGGCCCAGACTTGGGGCTCTGTCCTCTCTACAAAGTGAGCCATTTCCTTGACATAAACTTTTCTTTTTATATAAGTTTCACTGGTTTTTCTTCTCTAGAGAACTCAGTCAAGGACATATAGTTTTATGTTAAATGTTTTTTGCGTCTGTTTTTACTTCATTTTGGGGAGTGAATGGCTTTGCTGGTCGTAAAAGTCTTCCACACAGCTATAAGCTACTTTCTCTCTCTCTCCTCTCTTTCTCTTTCATCGTCATTCTCTTTTCTTTACCCCAAATGAGTTAGAATCTTATGAGAGAATCACACTAGGCAGAAGAGAATCCTTTTATCCTGCAATAATGGCGAATAATATCATGCATACTCTGTTGAACTTTCATAAGGAAACTGACACCAGTTTAATCAAAATAAAAAATGAAAGATACCTCTTAGCAGAGTGATACGTATTTGACTTTATGGAGCCTAAGTTACAATAAATAAATTTAACGAAAAGCCATCACACCAAAACACCCCTATCAGTTAACATCCCACCAGACATGGGTACATTTCAGATGCTGCTAACAAGTGATTTCCAGTATCATTTCTTGGTGACAGCCTCAAACTATTTCCAACATGTACTGTTCATTCAACTCAAACTCATGGTATCCCAGAATAAAACTCTGCTCCATAGAGCTTTAAAGGGCTGATTTTTCAGAAGTCAATTGCCAGTCTTTTCTTCTGAGGGCCCTCTGTGTGGGCTTGAACCAACAACCTGTCAGTTAGCAGTTGTTGTTGTTGTACTGTGTACTGTGGAGTCGGTTCTGACTCATAGTGACCCTGCCCAGGGTTTCTGAAGCTGTAAATCTTTACGGGAGCAGAAAGCCTCATCTTTCTCCCGCAGAACTGCTGGTAGTTTCGAACTGCCAACCTTCAGATTAGCAGCCACTTTAATTATTTGCACCCCCAGGGGCTTACTGCCAGTCACATCAAAGGACATATCTACACGTAGTAACCCTCACTATTCAGCAAAAGCAAAGACTAGGGAAGATTTCCCAGAGTCAATCGTTCAGGGAAGGATACGCTAGACCTGAAAGATACCAGCAGCTGAAGTGAACCGAAATGCAGAGCTGGTACTTGGTAAAGGAAGGGAGGTAGATGCTTTGCCTCACCCAGCCCCAGATCAGTGAGCTCTGTGCTCCTCCTCCCCTGCAGGGTCCCCTCGGGACTGATTTGCAGGATGCGGTTGAGGGTGTGGATCCATTCGTCCATATCCAGCTCGGTTTCCGCTGCCAGCACAAAATAGGTCATGGCATTCATTTTCAACTCAAAGGCATATTTTCTTAGTCTGTTATTCTGTGGTATAAAGACAGGAAGGAAAGAATCTTTGAGTCACGTGTGCTTTTTGGAATGCCTAACAAGTCTTAGAGAGTAAGAACTATTTTCTATGGGGTTGGGGTCTCACAGTATTTTCATACAAACAGGGGACATAAAGTACACTTCCCAAAACGGGACAAAATTTTAGGGGCATGTTCAACATTTTGTTTGTTTTTTCTTCAATGCTCTTTATACTAAGAGATAGTCTATTTCGGATTTGGTTGACGGGATACCTGGTTCAAAAATGTGATCTTTATGTGTTTGGTAAGGGTGTTCTAAACATCTTCAAACAGTTGCTTTCAGTTGCTGCATCATCTTTCTCATCTGATGTTCTTTCAGAGGTTCATCTCTCCTCAATGCACCCCAGAACCAGTACTTGCCCAAGTCCCTAACAACAGCTATGTGGCTCTACAATCAAAGGACCATGTTCCGCCCCACATCACACATGACTTTTCAGCAGAGTGAATGGTGTGGCCATTTCCTGCCTGGTTTCCGTGACACACTCTATTCTGTTTTCCCTCCCACCTCATCAGCCATCATTTCTTAACCTTTTGTTGGCTCATCTTTATTTTTTAAGCTTTAATGGTAACTCCAGCTCTGCTGTTACCTTTGTCTCCTATGTACCTGCATATCCTTTGTTGCTATTAAGTGCCGAGGAGTTGGTTCTGAGTCATAGTGACATGCATGGGGTTTCTGAAGAGCAGCTGGTGGGTTTGAATTGCAGACCTTATGCTGAGTAGTCCAGTGTTTACCCTCCAGTGCCACACCAGAAGTCTTTTCACTCCTCTAGGAAATATCATCTCATTGAATGGCTTTCAACGCCCTCCAGATGCAAAGGCAGAGTCCTGGTGGGGCGCTGTATGATAAGCATTGGACTGCAAACCACAGGCCAGGGGTTTGAACCACCAGCCACTCCTTGGAAACCCTATGCAGGGTCACTATGAGTCAGAACAACTTGAGAGAACTTAACAACAACAGATGCAATGGCAACCAACCTCCTTCTCTAGCTGTGATGTGTGATTCAGTCACTTCTCTTACATAGATAGCCCTGTGACTGTCTCCTTGACGTTTTTTAGCAAGTCACAATGCATCATACAATTGTTGTTAAGTACCGTGGAGTCTGTCTGACTCATAGTGACCCTGTACAGGGTTTCCGAGGCTGTAAATCTTTATGGGAGCAGAAACCCTCATATTTCTCCTGCGGAGCAGCTGGTAGTTTCGAACTGCTGAATTTGAGGCTAGCAGCCCGATTGGTTCGTAACCACTATGCTACCAGAGCTCCTGTATGCTGACTATATTCCAGTGACTGCCTTGTTGCTGACTCTGTCACATGGACGCACACACAGTAAGCACACGTCCTCTTTCTTTCTCAGAGGTAGAACCTGGATGGGTAGATACATGACCCAATATAGGCAGGTCTGAATGGATGATGGGAAAGGTCCTGAAAGAACATGATAGGATAATACAGACCTAAATATTCCTTAGTCCCACAGTGAAACAGAAGCAGCAAAAAGTAAAAACCCTGCCCCAGGTTGGGAATACCACACCAATTGCTGCTGAGTCCATTCTGATTCATCACAAGATTAGGATTCAGGGGAATCAAATGTACCTGCCACTGTTTGACCATGTTAAGAAAAAAGTGGAACACTTGGTTAGGTCTTGTTTAGATTTTTGTTTTTTCCCCCCAAAACCACTAACCATAATAAGCATTGGCTATGGTCTCTGAGGAAGGTGGGTGGGAGTTTCTCTTCTCCTGATGTCACCTCGGAAATAAAGCTCTGTAAGAATTCCTCAATGAGGCAAACTAGTGAGTTCAAGTTGCTTGAAAAATTCGAGGATAGGTAGCACTTTCTGAAGCAAAGACTCTGTCCCTCATTTCGGTTTTGTTCAAGGGAAACTGGCCATGATTCTTGACAAAATAAGTCTGACTAATTCTACTCACTTTTCTCTGCTTCTGTGTATGTGTGTGGTTCACCTTTTGACACATTTTATGTGCCAGAGAGTTTATTAACATTATCCACAAATGACAGCCATTATTCAGAATCTCCTTACCAGATTCAAAAACGTCAAAGTCAGAAAGATCTATATAAGCCAATATGTATGACCTGGGACTAACTCACCAGGTGAAAGTGACCCAGATGTCTGTCTAGCCCAGTGATATTAAGAAGCGAGTGGTTCCTGCCTCTCAAGAGGATAGAGTTCTAGATGAAGATGAATGTAAGTGCAAGAATACAGAGATGAACCCTCAATCCAAATATTTGACTATCTATGTATTGGGAAAAAGAAGTTGGACTTTTAATTTGCATTACTAGGTAATATCTACCTTAAAGAATCCTGTGCACAGGGTCAGCATTCCTGTGACGACTTCTAGTCTGGCCTAAAAGAGTTCATCATTAGTCTGGACTTCAAGGACTGTCCAGATACCCTACCATTTCCACCAGCCTGAACAGCTCTTGCGACCTTGTATACCTGTGAGTCATGGGCCTGTTTCCTCTATGATTCTGACTTCAGTAGTGAATCCCCACTGCATGAGGAGCTCTGGTAGTGTACTGGGATAAGCAGCAGACTGCTAACTGAAAGGTCAGCTGTAGGAATTTACCAGCCAGTGCCACTGGAGAAAGATGAAGCAGCCTGTTTCCATAAAGATTTACAATCAGCAAGAGGCACCTTGTACAAAAGGCCTGGTGACCTGCTTCTTAAAGGTCACAGCCATGAAATCCCTATGCAATTCAGTTCTGCACTGACATACAGGAGTTCGGTTCTACACTGACACATAGGAATTCCAACATGAGCTGGAATCAATTCCATGAAAACTGTCTTGTTTTTGTTGTTGTTGCTGTAAAGGACAGTTCCTAGCATTTCATAAACACAGAATAAATTCTGAACAATGAAGGAATGCATGAATAAATAAGTATATGGATATCAAAGTAGAAATTCTAGAAAGACAAATTTCAGCTCACTAGAAAGTTGATTTTCTAGGAAGAACTTCCATAAAGTTGTGACATTTGCTATTAGTGGCAGGACCAGGGAAGATGGGCTGAAGACACATTGTCTCACAGAAACTTTCCATGTGTTAGTCCATTTGTACCTGTTTTACACAGGGGGGTGTATAACTCGTTCAAAGTCCTCAGATGAGAAATGGTCAGGCGCAGATTTGAATGTTGACCTGCATGAATCCCAAATTTGTGTTTTCCCTAAAAGACACTGTTTTTGTAAGGCAATGTTGAAACAGAGACTGAGACAGAGTCCAGATAATTAGGAAAAGATTCTTACAATGGAAGGAGCTCAGACTGGACTACCAAAATGAGTGTCCAACAGTAAGGTCTGTGATTCTTTGAAAACAACAACAGAAATTCTATATTAAACTGTATATCTGAAAACAAAATACAAATATATTACAAAAGACTACAATGATATTTCCCAAAAAATGAAGGCTCATTGCCAGAACAAGCTTTGAAATGCAAGTAGAGAACAAAATATTTAAGTTTTCAGTTCGATGACTATAAAATGTAGCTATTGATCTTTGGCCTACTGTTAAATCTTTTAGTTCATGTTTCTAAAGCCAGGAGTCTCTTTGGTGACTATACAAAATTATCTCTACCCTCCATTAGGCTCTGATTGTCTTTCTCATATGGAAATTTGGCAACTGGGTTAAAATGCAATTATCTTTCTCTTCTAGTGAAGAGCTCCGCAACATTTAATTCTTGCCTTTGAAAGTTTATATTATTACATTTTGGAGTACATCCAGGTTTTCACAGATGCATCAGACGGAACTAGGCCAGGCTTATTAGACTGGAGAGAACTCTATTCTGTACCCACCCATCCAAGTGTCCTGAGTATTAGCCTGAGACGTAATCTCAGCTAAGTAGAGACTTAGTGTGTGCACTTTGGCTTGGTGGGAAGAGAAGGAATTACCCCTAGTGGCCTCCAACCAGAAACAAGAATCTTCAGCCTCAGTGATGTAGATGTGAAATTTGTGATGTGATGTGAATTTGTGGTGAGTCTGCTAAAAGACTTGACTGCTTCCATTTTTATGTAACAGGGAATAAAAACAAAGCCCCACTGCTGTCATTTGTTTGGGACTCATTTGTTAAGTGCCATCAAGTCTCATAGCGACCTTGTATAGGGTTTCTGAGGAGAGGCTGATGAGCTTGAAGTACTGACCTTGTAGGTCAAGCTAACCTTGCTGTCCAGCACATTAACCCACTATGCCACACCAGGACCCCTAGAGATCTTATATTGTTGGTAAGTGTGGTTGAGTCGATTCTGACTTATAGCGAACCTGTATAGGGTTTCTGAGAAATGCTGGTGTGTTGAACCTTACAGTTAGCAGTCCAGTGCTTATCGCCACGCCAGGACACCTATTGTTGTTGTTGTTGTTAGGGTACAGTAAAACTACTCAATTGAATTTCTAAGGTTGTAATGAGTATGGGGCTGTTGGATAAGCACTGGACAGTGACCCTCAAGGCCATCAGTTCAAACCCACCAGCTGCTCCTCAGAAACCCTATACAGTGCTGATATGAGTCAGAAATAACTCAATGGCACTTAGCAGTAACAATCTTTATGGAAACAGACTATCCCGAAGAGCAGCTGCTCGGTACAGAGAGGCACGTGGGTTCAAACCACACACCTTATAAGTGAATAAGGGTAGCTACTTCAACAGAATAAAAAGAATGAATGATTTCAAAGTTAAATATGATACCAAATGAGCTCTTGAAATTATTATTTTTCCCTTCATAATGGTTCATGTCCAATTTGATACGAAGGAGACTAGTTTGAAGATGGAGAGATTGTAGCATTGTACTGCAGGTTAAAAGCATTATGTTTCTTTCAGAAATGAAGTTCTTGAGTGTGTGTCTAACCCTGTCTTTGATGACTGTCTTATCTTGGAGAAAGATGGTATTGAGGTACGAAGTACAATTGCTGTCTTATTATTCAGTGATCCTAAAGAAACTTTTGCAGTCCTGGTGTGGCGATG